GCCCGTGCACGTGCAGAAGCGGTTAGGCTGCTTGCCCGGGGGCCCGTGCACCTGCAGAAGCGGTTAGGCTGCTTGCCCGGGGGCCCGTGAACCTGCAGAAGCGGTTAGGCTGCTTGCCCGGGGGCCCGTGCACCTGCAGAAGCGGTTAGGCTGCTTGCCCGGGGGCCCGTGCACGTGCAGAAGCGGTTAGGCTGCTTGCCCGGGGGCCCGTGCACCTGCAGAAGCGGTTAGGCTGCTTGCCCGGGGGCCCGTGCACCTGCAGAAGCGGTTAGGCTGCTTGCCCGGGGGCCCGTGCACCTGCAGAAGCGGTTAGGCTGCTTGCCCGGGGGCCCGTGCACGTGCAGAAGCGGTTAGGCTGCTTGCCCGGGGGCCCGTGCACCTGCAGAAGCGGTTAGGCTGCTTGCCCGGGGTCCCGTGCACCTGCAGAAGCGGTTAGGCTGCTTGCCCGGGGTCCCGTGCACCTGCAGAAGCGGTTAGGCTGCTTGCCCGGGGGCCGGTGCACGTGCAGAAGCGGTTAGGCTGCTTGCACGGGGGCCGGTGCACGTGCAGAAGCGGTTAGGCTGCTTGCCCGGGGGCCGGTGCACGTGCAGAAGCGGTTAGGCTGCTTGCCCGGGGGCCGGTGCACGTGCAGAAGCGGTTAGGCTGCTTGCCCGGGGGCCGGTGCACGTGCAGAAGCGGTTAGGCTGCTTGCCCGGGGGCCGGTGCACCTGCAGAAGCGGTTAGGCTGCTTGCCCGGGGGCCCGTGCACCTGCAGAAGCGGTTAGGCTGCTTGCCCGGGGGCCGGTGCACGTGCAGAAGCGGTTAGGCTGCTTGCCCGGGGGCCGGTGCACGTGCAGAAGCGGTTAGGCTGCTTGCCCGGGGGCCGGTGCACCTGCAGAAGCGGTTAGGCTGCTTGCCCGGGGGCCGGTGCACCTGCAGAAGCGGTTAGGCTGCTTGCCCGGGGGCCGGTGCACCTGCAGAAGCGGTTAGGCTGCTTGCCCGGGGGCCCGTGCACCTGCAGAAGCGGTTAGGCTGCTTGCCCGGGGGCCCGTGCACCTGCAGAAGCGGTTAGGCTGCTTGCCCGGGGGCCCGTGCACCTGCAGAAGCGGTTAGGCTGCTTGCCCGGGGGCCCGTGCACGTGCAGAAGCGGTTAGGCTGCTTGCCCGGGGGCCCGTGCACGTGCAGAAGCGGTTAGGCTGCTTGCCCGGGGGCCCGTGCACGTGCAGAAGCGGTTAGGCTGCTTGCCCGGGGGCCCGTGCACGTGCAGAAGCGGTTAGGCTGCTTGCCCGGGGGCCCGTGCACGTGCAGAAGCGGTTAGGCTGCTTGCCCGGGGGCCCGTGCACGTGCAGAAGCGGTTAGGCTGCTTGCCCGGGGGCCCGTGCACCTGCAGAAGCGGTTAGGCTGCTTGCCCGGGGGCCCGTGCACGTGCAGAAGCGGTTAGGCTGCTTGCCCGGGGGCCCGTGCACGTGCAGAAGCGGTTAGCCTGCTTGCCCGGGGGCCCGTGCACGTGCAGAAGCGGTTAGGCTGCTTGCCCGGGGGCCCGTGCACGTGCAGAAGCGGTTAGGCTGCTTGCCCGGGGGCCCGTGCACGTGCAGAAGCGGTTAGGCTGCTTGCCCGGGGGCCCGTGCACCTGCAGAAGCGGTTAGGCTGCTTGCCCGGGGGCCCGTGCACCTGCAGAAGCGGTTAGGCTGCTTGCCCGGGTGCCCGTGCACCTGCAGAAGCCGTTAGGCTGCTTGCCCGGGGGCCCGTGCACCTGCAGAAGCGGTTAGGCTGCTTGCCCGGGGGCCCGTGCACCTGCAGAAGCGGTTAGGCTGCTTGCCCGGGGGCCCGTGCACCTGCAGAAGCGGTTAGGCTGCTTGCCCGGGGGCCCGTGCACGTGCAGAAGCGGTTAGCTGCTTGCCCGGGGGCCCGTGCACGTGCAGAAGCGGTTAGGCTGCTTGCCCGGGGGCCCGTGCACGTGCAGAAGCGGTTAGGCTGCTTGCCCGGGGGCCCGAGCACGTGCAGAAGCGGTTAGGCTGCTTGCCCGGGGGCCCGTGCACGTGCAGAAGCGGTTAGGCTGCTTGCCCGGGGGCCCGTGCACGTGCAGAAGCGGTTAGGCTGCTTGCCCGGGGGCCCGTGCACGTGCAGAAGCGGTTAGGCTGCTTGCCCGGGGGCCCGTGCACGTGCAGAAGCGGTTAGGCTGCTTGCCCGGGGGCCCGTGCACGTGCAGAAGCGGTTAGGCTGCTTGCCCGGGGGCCCGTGCACGTGCAGAAGCGGTTAGGCTGCTTGCCCGGGGGCCCGTGCACGTGCAGAAGCGGTTAGGCTGCTTGCCCGGGGGCCCGTGCACCTGCAGAAGCGTTTAGGTTGCTTGCCCGGGGGCCCGTGCACCTGCAGAAACGGTTAGGCTGCTTGCCCGGGGGCCCGTGCACGTGCAGAAGCGGTTAGGCTGCTTGCCCGGGGGCCCGTGCACGTGCAGAAGCGGTTAGGCTGCTTGCCCGGTGGCCCGTGCACGTGCAGAAGCGGTTAGGCTGCTTGCCCGGGGGCCCGTGCACGTGCAGAAGCGGTTAGGCTGCTTGCCCGGGGGCCCGTGCACCTGCAGAAGCGGTTAGGCTGCTTGCCCGGGGGCCCGTGCACGTGCAGAAGCGGTTAGGCTGCTTGCCCGGGGGCCCGTGCACGTGCAGAAGCGGTTAGGCTGCTTGCCCGGGGGCCCGTGCACGTGCAGAAGCGGTTAGGCTGCTTGCCCGGGGGCCCGTGCACCTGCAGAAGCGGTTAGGCTGCTTGCCCGGGGGCCCGTGCACCTGCAGAAGCGGTTAGGCTGCTTGCCCGGGGGCCCGTGCACCTGCAGAAGCGGTTAGGCTGCTTGCCCGGGGGCCCGTGCACGTGCAGAAGCGGTTAGGCTGCTTGCCCGGGGGCCCGTGCCCGTGCAGAAGCGGTTAGGCTGCTTGCCCGGGGGCCCGTGCCCGTGCAGAAGCGGTTAGGCTGCTTGCCCGGGGGCCCGTGCCCGTGCAGAAGCGGTTAGGCTGCTTGCCCGGGGGCCCGTGCCCGTGCAGAAGCGGTTAGGCTGCTTGCCCGGGGGCCCGTGCCCGTGCAGAAGCGGTTAGGCTGCTTGCCCGGGGGCCCGTGCCCGTGCAGAAGCGGTTAGGCTGCTTGCCCGGGGGCCCGTGCCCGTGCAGAAGCGGTTAGGCTGCTTGCCCGGGGGCCCGTGCCCGTGCAGAAGCGGTTAGGCTGCTTGCCCGGGGGCCCGTGCACCTGCAGAAGCGGTTAGGCTGCTTGCCCGGGGGCCCGTGCCCGTGCAGAAGCGGTTAGGCTGCTTGCCCGGGGGCCCGTGCCCGTGCAGAAGCGGTTAGGCTGCTTGCCCGGGGGCCCGTGCCCGTGCAGAAGCGGTTAGGCTGCTTGCCCGGGGGCCCGTGCCCGTGCAGAAGCGGTTAGGCTGCTTGCCCGGGGGCCCGTGCACGTGCAGAAGCGGTTAGGCTGCTTGCCCGGGGGCCCGTGCACCTGCAGAAGCGGTTAGGCTGCTTGCCCGGGGGCCCGTGCACCTGCAGAAGCGGTTAGGCTGCTTGCCCGGGGGCCCGTGCACCTGCAGAAGCGGTTAGGCTGCTTGCCCGGGGGCCCGTGCACCTGCAGAAGCGGATAGGCTGCTTGCCCGGGGGCCCGTGCACCTGCAGAAGCGGTTAGGCTGCTTGCCCGGGGGCCCGTGCACGTGCACCTGCAGAAGCGGTTAGGCTGCTTGCCCGGGGGCCCGTGCACCTGCAGAAGCGGTTAGGCTGCTTGCCCGGGGGCCCGTGCACCTGCAGAAGCGGTTAGGCTGCTTGCCCGGGGGCCCGTGCACGTGCAGAAGCGGTTAGGCTGCTTGCCCGGGGGCCCGTGCACGTGCAGAAGCGGTTAGGCTGCTTGCCCGGGGGCCCGTGCACGTGCAGAAGCGGTTAGGCTGCTTGCCCGGGGGCCCGTGCACCTGCAGAAGCCTTTAGGCTGCTTGCCCGGGGGCCCGTGCACCTGCAGAAGCGGTTAGGCTGCTTGCCCGGGGGCCCGTGCACCTGCAGAAGCGGTTAGGCTGCTTGCCCGGGGGCCCGTGCACCTGCAGAAGCGGTTAGGCTGCTTGCCCGGGGGCCCGTGCACCTGCAGAAGCGGTTAGGCTGCTTGCCCGGGGGCCCGTGCACCTGCAGAAGCGGTTAGGCTGCTTGCCCGGGGGCCCGTGCACGTGCAGAAGCGGTTAGGCTGCTTGCCCGGGGGCCCGTGCACGTGCAGAAGCGGTTAGGCTGCTTGCCCGGGGTCCCGTGCACGTGCAGAAGCGGTTAGGCTGCTTGCCCGGGGTCCCGTGCACGTGCAGAAGCGGTTAGGCTGCTTGCCCGGGGTCCCGTGCACCTGCAGAAGCGGTTAGGCTGCTTGCCCGGGGTCCCGTGCACCTGCAGAAGCGGTTAGGCTGCTTGCCCGGGGGCCCGTGCACGTGCAGAAGCGGTTAGCTGCTTGCCCGGGGGCCCGTGCACGTGCAGAAGCGGTTAGGCTGCTTGCCCGGGGGCCCGTGCACGTGCAGAAGCGGTTAGGCTGCTTGCCCGGGGGCCCGTGCACGTGCAGAAGCGGTTAGGCTGCTTGCCCGGGGGCCCGTGCACGTGCAGAAGCGGTTAGGCTGCTTGCCCGGGGGCCCGTGCACGTGCAGAAGCGGTTAGGCTGCTTGCCCGGGGGCCCGTGCACGTGCAGAAGCGGTTAGGCTGCTTGCCCGGGGGCCCGTGCACGTGCAGAAGCGGTTAGGCTGCTTGCCCGGGGGCCCGTGCACGTGCAGAAGCGGTTAGGCTGCTTGCCCGGGGGCCCGTGCACGTGCAGAAGCGGTTAGGCTGCTTGCCCGGGGGCCCGTGCACGTGCAGAAGCGGTTAGGCTGCTTGCCCGGGGGCCCGTGCACGTGCAGAAGCGGTTAGGCTGCTTGCCCGGGGTCCCGTGCACGTGCAGAAGCGGTTAGGCTGCTTGCCCGGGGTCCCGTGCACGTGCAGAAGCGGTTAGGCTGCTTGCCCGGGGTCCCGTGCACGTGCAGAAGCGGTTAGGCTGCTTGCCCGGGGCCGTGCACGGGCCGTGCACGTGCAGAAGCGGTTAGGCTTCTTACTCAGAAGCGGAGCGGGTGAGGTGGTTGCGATTCTTGCTCAGGACTTGTGGAAATGCGCATGTACAGGGCCATTAGAGCCTAGACATTGGATAAAAGAGGTTGCTTGGCGTTCATTGAAAGTCAGAGAGATCAAAGGGGCCTGAGATTCTGCCCGGTGAGGACCGGAAACCGGACGGTCGGAGGAGTCACAGGGCTGCCATGCCAGGCATCTTTGGCAGCTCAGTGCCCAAGCTCCACAAGGCTGCCCGCAAGGGCGACAAGGCCAAGGTGGAGCGTCTCCTCCAGAAATGGAACACGGTTTACAGAGACAGCAAGCAAAGGTAATGGGGCTGCAGGCCCAGGGGCTGTGAGTGGGGCCAGGATGATGCGGGAGAGGAAGAAGTGGGTGAAGCGGGGGCAGGGGGATTCCCACCACCCTGGGAGGCAAAGCTGGCCAGAGAGTCGATCCTCAGGTGGTGTCCATAAGCTGCAAAATAAAAACCAAACATTCACTGGTTTTTAGTGGACTTATACTTCCTGTGTAGACTACATTATTGACTGCAGAAAAGCTATTTAAACATGGTAACACGTGTATAGAGTTTTATTCTTAGTATCACATTAAGAGATGTACTGTTGTACATATTATTTAAAAAGGGAACTATGACATGTTTCCTGTAATCTACAAACTTAGGGTGGAAACTTAACCTGATGAAAATCTAGTGTCCATTTACTATCAGTGTACACCTGTGCATGTATGTTCTTTACTAAGGAACCTTATAAGAAAACTGAGATGGGAAGGTGACGGCATGTTCTTGACTAGAAAGTTCTGTTAGTCTCAAAATGTGAGCTTTCTGTGTATCAGCTTTATAGAAGCTAAATAAAAAAATCGCATAAGACTTGAGTGTCCATAGCCTCTTTCGCTATGGGGTCACTAAGAAAATGTAGTGAAAGCCCACCTTCGTAGGTATCATGGTAAGTCATTTTCACAAATTAATTGTTTTCCAACAGCCCAAAAGATAAATAAATGAATGTAACTTAGTAGAAAACCTGGAAACATTCAAATATCTGTCAGATTTTAGAAGTTGAAAAATTGGAATGACTCATGAATGAAATGCCTGTAAAGTGTTTCCAAAAAACCTGGATTTTTATGTCACAAAAGTTTCTGGTGGTGTATTGATTAAAAATTTTATATCATACAAAATGAGAAAAGTGGCAAAGGAAAACACATAGCCTATTTGAGCCTTCCTAAGAATGACACCAACAATGAACATTCATTTTTTTGTGTTGGGGGTTGCTCCTAGAACATGGTGCATGCGAAACACACTACCACTCAGCCATCCCCTTCCCCACCTGCATTCTGAAGGTTGACTACCAAAAGAAAAATTAAATTCTCATTTATATTGGAAAATCATTAACAAAATGAAAAACATACTTGTGAGACATTTATAACAAGGGCCTGGGATATTAACTCAGTGGCACAGTGCCCACATGAAAATGTGAGGTCAGGAGTTAGATTTGCAGTGCCAAAAAAATAAAATAAAATAATAAAATAAAATAAAATAAAGGAGAGATAAATAGATACATCATAAAATACATCATACATCAGATGAAACAAAATCATACATACATACAGCAGATAAAAAATGTATCTTAAACTTACAGGGTAATTTTTTAAAAATCATCAAAGAAAAATATTGAATACTAATTTACTTCCATGCTAGATAGCAACACTGTGAGCCTCATATCCTGGGCTGTACTGCTGAGCTATATTTAACTCTAAATTATGTGGTTGGTTTGACAAGTGACCTGTAAACATAAAAAGAAATGTTTAATGTCCCTGATAAGGGGAATTTAATTTTACAAAGGAATCAAATGTTTTCCAGTTACAGAGTGTGAGAATGAAGAAAAGTTTATTCTGCTGCTTAAAACTGGAGATGGCTTATGACTTTTTCAAATAGGAAATTTGATATAAGTACTATACCACAGTTTAGGAAAGCATGTCTCCACCAATCAGCTCTCTTCTAGAATATCTTTAGGACATACAGAGACGCATTTAATATGCATTTCTTCAGTATTGCTTAAAATAGTGATGGATTCACAGAAGAGATTGTATCAGTTGCAGTGCATTCATAGGGTGGAGTGATATATAATCACTGAAATTGGCATCACATCAATATATTCTTAACAGGGAAAGATGTACTTTCATATATCCACTGAGCAAAGAGTCAGTTTAATTTTGCATACACACAGATAGGCTGCAGTCTTGTTTTAGACAGAAAATGTATACAAATTGTGGCAAAATTTGTTATTTTCAGGCATTTGACATTTTCTGTTCTTTTTTATTATCGAGAAGTTCATTCTAGTTGTAATATTTAGGAGTTTATTAAATTTTTTCATTCTAACAGTTTCATTGGCCCAGAAACAATGCTGAGTATTCTATATTTTGACATTTTTGTGCCTTGCATTTTGCATGTTATGATTAGTATTGGCAACGGTACTGTGTGCTCTTCTTTCCTTTCTCTTATCCTTGATTTCTATAATAGATATGAAACTCTAGTGAAAGTTGATTATTAATAAAATAATCCTTGAGAAAAACAGAAATATTAGTTAAGCACAGATAATTTTCATTTTTATGTGTGTGTATTGGTATTTCTGATAACTTTTTACTTCTTCTGAAATAAAGAAATTATCTGTATGTATAGATTTTACTATGAATCATGTGATGATGCCTTACGAAGAAACCTTTTTAAAAGCCACTGCTGTGGGATTTTCACATGGAGAGGCAGGGCACTCCAGCTGCCCAAGGAGGCAGCTTCATTGGTGCTGACACTAACTCAGCAGATTCATGATTAACATGGTATAGTTGCCCCCTTTTATACAATTTTTGTCTTTTCATCTCCCTTATATGGGCACATGCAAGGATTTTCCAGTCTGGCCGGTATACCTTAACATTCTATAGGCTGGTTTATGTTATAGTGTTATATCAGTAGCATACACAGAGGCTGATGTTAAAAAAAAGCCCCCCATACTCCAAAGGTCAGGAGGGGCCCTCCCACACCACCAGTTATAGTTACACAAGACCTGTTGTCTTCTGAGCTGTGTGTGGCTTTCCAATGACAGAGGTGTTAAAATATGAGAAAAAGTGTCTGGAGGCTTATTGAAATAATTCTAACCCCACAAGGTAGGTCCATTTGAATTATTTTATTTTACTTAATTGAAATATTGCCTTTGTTAAGTAGTAATAGGAGACATTATAGTATCAGACAATTATTGAGCTGTTACTTGTTTGAGAAGTTATTCGAAAAATTTTGTGTGGATTCTTACTTAACCATCACAGTGGTGTCTTGTGAGAGAACTGCTTTCAGTCCTCATTTTGTAGGTAACAATCCCGAGGCACAGAAAGGCTAAGGGATGGCTAGAAAGTAAGAACTTAGAGTAGGAATTAAATTCCAATTGAGCTAAATCCAAGGCCTGCTCTTTCTATTCCAGTGGGTTGCACTAGGCTGGGAGGTAGCGCAGTGCAGGGATCTTGTTTAGTATGTGCAAGACAGCAGCTTCCATCCCCTGCACCACACACAAATGCAGCATCACCCACTTGCTCTTCCATTCACAGGTGAGTAATAAGAGATGCTAAGCATTCTATGTTTTCAAAGATAATTAAATACTTATTGTGAAAGGTATTTAATGTTCACAATTCCATGAATAATTATGAATTTTGAAATGGAGTGCTGTAATTTCCTAATAATCTTTCTGACTGTCCCAGGACTGCTCTGCATTATGCCAGTGCCTATGGCCATCCAGAAGTGGTGAGACTCCTGATACAGAAAAAGTTTGACCTTAATGCCTGGGACAGTGACCATGACACCGCTCTGATTAAGGTAAATAGCAGCCAACAATTTCAGCATGGGAGGGATTGTATTTAAATGCTGAAAATCAAAGTCAGTTGATGTAATTTGAATATAACTCCTTGGCCAGGCATGTGGAAAGTGTGTTTGGAGTTTCTTGAGTTGATGGTGTCTCCTCTGTTACAATACCCACAGGCTGTAAAATGCTACGAGGAAGACTGTGTTAGTATTCTCTTGGAACATGGTGCAAATCCAAATATTGCCAATACCAAGGGCGACACTGCTCTGCATTATGCAGTTTACAGTTCAAAGTCTTCACTAACAGCAAAACTGCTTTCGCATGGTGCCGATGCTGAGGCAAAAAACAAGGTATAGAGCACTGAATTTTCTTTCCAAAGTTTCTGAAATACTTTCCTGTTCACAGTGACATATTGGTTGGTCAGTTCTCCATATTTAGAAGGTCAAGTGTTTCATGGATGGAAATACACTGTTTTAAATAACTTAATAGTTAATGTTTTCACTTTCAATGTTGATAGTTTTAATGAAATGCTAGAGGATGTGAGTTTCTATTATGCACTTACAGCAAGCATTTGTGAAGACACTGAAATTTAAAAAGTAAATCATTTTTCTGTTATTTTTTCCAAATGGTTATATTTTCTTTCTTTTTTTTTTTTTGCACTAGTGTAAAACAACAGAGGACAGCAAAATTAGCCTCAGAAATAGGTATTATTTTAAAACTTAAACAGAACAACAGTATTTTACAATAAGTGGTAATTTTGTTGCTGTTGACAGCTCATAAAAATGATCCATTTTTGATTTGACTTAAATGGGAAAAATGAGAAGGAAAAATAATTAGAAATAATGCAGGCCCATAGAGTTTGCTTTGTTGGTTGGCTGTTTTTGAAAAAATATTTTTTCTGGTTCATGTGCATAGATAAGATCAATTTTTAGGAAAAATACTTTTTTTTCTATTCAGTACTGGAAATTGAACACAGAATATTCATACTGAGCTGCATCTCCTGCTCTTTTGTGTTATGTTTTACTTTGAGGTAGAGTTTCAAATTAGTTGCCTAATTTGAATTTAAACTTGCAATCTGCCTACCTCAGCATTCCATAGTGCAGATAATCTGGTTGTACTCAATTTGGGAATAAAAATTCTTTATTTTTTTCTTTTCTTTTTTCTTTCTTTTTTTCAATACTAGGAATCAAACTCTGGACCTTGCACTTACCAGGCAGGCATGGTGCTGCTGAGCTATATTCCTGTCCTCTTAAAAATTTTTAAATAGTAAAGAGAATGATATAAACCTGAAATTTTAGGAGAACTGGATCAATCCAGTTTTTCACTGGATGCATGGTGATTAAGTGGGAAACAAGGGAAATGAATGAATAATAAAGAGAAGTCCTCTCCTTTTCAGTCAGAAACCGCAACTAAGATAAGAATCTGAATTGTCCTTTCAAACATATGATGTCTTGCTGGGAGCTGGGAGTTAAGGAGCTTGTATGATGAGATCAGTTGTATTTTGAATGTACTAGTCCCTGTTCTGCCCTGTGCCAAGAGGATTAAATGGAGCTTCCATGGAGTACCTGTCTCTCACCTTCCCTCCTTTTGTCTAAATTCTCAACTAGTAAAAAGTAGTGGCTGTGTAGATGAGAGATGAGACTGATGTCATCTTCTAGGTTCTCTAGTCCTCATCTAGACTTGTGCATTTCTGTGGTCAGGAGAAAGGTTTGAAACAGTTGAGGCTCTGTCCTGGAGATTTGGGTTCAGTAAATGTCTTAAGCCCTGACATGGATATTTCAAAACATTTCCTCAAGATTCTGACGTAGCTCAGAAGCATTTAATGGACAGGCATGTTTAATGGTGAATTCCTAATTCTCAGAAACTGAAGAAATCTCTAGATGAGTTGGATTAAATACCACTTCCTTCTAATCTCTCCTTTCCAATAAAATCAGGCCAACTTTCATTTGTCTTTCTCTACCTCTGTCCATGGGAAGTGAAAAGGAGTATCATCAGTGAAACCTCTTATTTTGCAGAATCCCACCACTTTCCCTCCCATCTGCAGTCATTCACTGCCACTGTGAAGCTCTGTAGAAATTCTCTGATGGTTGAGATTGAATCTTGAAGAATGTCACATCTCTTTATCATCATTAGTGCCTCTCTTTATTATCATTAATGGCCCAGTGTTGACAAATGGTGATTTGCAGGAGTTTGAACAATATCCATCTTGAGCCTGTATTTAGTTGAAGGCATGTGATAGACTATTTCAATGTATTAAGTGACCCCCCTGGTGAAAATCCTTGAAATTGTAAGAACATAGGTGGGAATGTTTTATACATTTTTATTGCTTATTTTTATTTTGTGTGTGTGTGTGTGTGTGTTACTAATGATTGATCCTAGGACTTTTCCATTGAGCTGCATCCCCAGCACTCATCACTCATCACTTTTAAAAATTTGAGACAGTGTCTCACTAAGTTGCAGAGACAGAAATCAAATCTGAACTTGGATCCCTCTTCTTAGCCTCCCAGAATGATAAGATTACAGATGTTCCTGTCCCCTGTCCCGCTGGGAATAGTTTTGATAATTTCCTTTCGGCACTCCTTTTTACCTGCTTAACAGTCAGGGAGAACTGCATACACATGGAGGAAAAGTATGCGTGCTGGAAAAATTATTAAAATAGGTATAATCTTTTTTATTTCATAGCAGGACCTCTCTTTTTGGTAAAACATGATGTTAAGGGAAGAATTTTACATTGTACACAACCATTTGGAAGCACATGCACAGCAAAGATATAAGCAGAACACTATGGACTAAATGTGCCTTTTAGCTCTATGCAATTTGCTTCCATCAACTGAATTCACAATGAAATTTCAGAAAACATCTCCATAATTTGAAGTTGGAGATGCTCACAAAGAAGAGGCTGTGCTGTCTTCAGAGCCCCTGTGACTGTGAGGGTGTGCCCCCTGTACAGGAAGCTCCCATGGCTTATCCAGTTTGCTATTGGCTCAATTCTGTACTTCTTCCTGCCCACTACTGTGCTTCTGTGAGAGTTTCCAGTTCTTAAATGATGGTATATTTTAATGTAGTCAGGAATTTCAGAATATCTTATATTCATTTATAAGGATGTAATCTAGATTTTAGAATGAATATTTTAAAATGGAATGAAGTTTAGAGATTCTTTAAAAAAGGTTTCCCATATACTATAAGTAACCATGTTCCTATTAGAATGCCTGAAGGTATTATTAATTATAATCACAACTGGATAGTTTGTGCATGTTACCAAGAATTTTGTATCTTCTTTTTCAGCCTTATCCCTTAAAAATATAAGCGACTTAGTGAGTTTCATTATGATACAATTTTCATATTGAGAAAATTCATATTGAGAAAATTCTGAGAAAATTTTCATATTATGCAGTGTTAGAATTTGTTCATTATGAGAAAATCCATCTTGAGCAGTATTAGAATTTATTTATTATGGGAAAATGCAAATTAAGCAGTATTAGAATCTTTATTGATGAACTATATTTTACCTCTGATTTCTATAACATTAGTAATTAAAATGGAAACAGAATATAACTTATTAAAAACAATAGCTATGCTGCGTGGGGATCTTAGCATTATCAGCATAAATGACAATTGAAATTTTGTACTGATCTTTTCCACTTTCATCTAGTAATAGGACAGAACCCCATGGATTGTGTAGTAATAAGGGATCCATGTTCACTTGGATCATGTCCTCAGGGACTCCTTGAAAGCTGGAATGGTTAAGAATTGTATTTGGATCCTTACACTAGGTGGAGAATCCAACAAGTTTCTTGCCTAACTCAGAAAAAATTTCCATAGTACTAGAAAGCTCTCAGCTCTGTATCCCTGAAACTGTTAATTCCTCATGTTGATATTTGTCAGAAGAAAAGTAATGTTAAATAGGAGTAAAGCAAAGGTAAAGAGATTTTAATACTGAGGAAATAATGCAGTTTTATAATTTCTCAAACATGATTATCAAATCTGTTGAGACATAGAAGTCATGGAAAATTATTCTTTGGAAGATAGGCTGAGAATTCCTGCCCTAGGGATGATGATTTAACTCATTAATTTAATCCAAATCCTTCAATCATTTTTGACTGTGCATTATGGTTGGAGCTACTGAGAAAAAAGATACAGCCCCTGCCCTGAAGGTGCATTTGATTGAAGCGGGAGATGTTACATAACTCTGAGTACCATGATAAAGGCTGTGATGGAAAGACCCTTGGAACCAGTGACTGGAGCGAGTTGTGACCCTGGGGTTTCTGTAGCCACTGTGGGCAGAGAGCATGCACTGCAGAGGGTATGGCAGGGCAGCACGTGTGGAAGCACTGGGAGTGAGAAGGAAGAGACTGCTGTGTGTTGTTATCTATATCAGGTTAACAGTCAGGGTCCTTCACAAGCTGTTCAGTTCAGCTGAGAAGCAGGCAGTTGTGTGGGTTTTAAATTGTTTCTGCTTCTCCACAGGAAGGCCTCACACCACTTATGCTTGCTCTAAGGGAAAACAGAATGGAAGCGGCAGCATTGTTAAAAAAGACAGAAACAAAGAATGTGGTGAATGAGCCGGAAAGGTATGGTTGTTCTTTTTTTAAACAAGAGTTCAGCAGTGTTGTGGAGTGGTAATAAGTCAAATAAGTCAGTAGCTGAAAGACTACCTTAGTGACTGGTGTATAATGAAAAAGATCAACACAAACCATCAGATAGAAAAATTATTTGGATTGGGCAACATAAGGAATACTGTGCAGTACAAGTCATGCGCTATTATTGAGTAATTTTGACTGATGTCTGCTTTTTAATGAGAAGAATAACTTTTGTAGTAAAACAATAAGGAAAAACACTGTGTATTGCTATGTTCATGGAACTTCCTCAGAGTACAAAACATAAGCCTAAATGCTTCATATAAAAAGGAAAAAGTGTAAATGTTTCTTTTCAGTGATTGAAAATGAGCTAGTAATATAAACAAGTTGGCACATAAAATATTTAGAGAAGCAAAATATGCAATTTGGAGAAGTATGCTCATATAAGAGAAACCAGAAAATATTTGAACTTGTGTTTCAGACTTATTTCAAAGAACTTTATATCCTCAAGTTGCATTCATTTATCTATGAGTTCCTCAAGGTTATCTTTCTTTTTCATAGTGCAGTATTCCATTGTGTATAATTGCCATTTTCCTTGTACATTATTCTCTTAATGGATGTACACACTATTTTAGAGATATAGCTGTTAGAAATTGTGCTGCTGTAAACATAGATATATATATATCCCTGTATGTATGATTTTAACTATTTTGGAAGATTTCTGCAAGGGGACGTAGCTGTCTCAAGTGGATTTCTATTTTCAGTTTTTTGCGGAAACACCACACTCTTTCCTGTAGTGTTCATACTGGTTTATATTCGCACCACCGTTGTAGAAAAATCCTTCATTCTCATCACCATTTATCATTAGATTTTTTTCATGGAAATCTTTCTAAGATAAAATGCTATCTTTGTGTATTTTTAATTTGCATTTATGTAATTTCCAGAAGCAATGATGAGTTTTCCATGTTTTTATTGGCCATTTGTACTTCTAACAAGTATCATTTCATTTCATTTGTCTGTTCTTTTGAGTTTTCTTTGGTAGGTCTATACTTTGATGCTTGTCCTCTGCCTGTGGAGTGGCTAATGAAAGTATTTTTTTTTCCAATCTGAAGATTGTCTCCTCATTCTGTTGGTTGTTTCCTTTGCAATGGAGAAGCTTTTTAATTTCATGAGACTCCATTTGTTGCTTGTCTATATTGTATTTTGTGCCATTAGGGTTTTGTTCAGAAAGTCCTTGCATGCCTGTGTCTTTGAGTACTGCCCATTTTGTCTTCCAGAAGATTGCTTCTGTTTTAACATTTAGTTCTTTGGCCCATTTTGGTTATAGTTTAGTACATGGTGATATATGTGGATCTAGTCTCAATCTGTTGCACGTAGGTATCCAATTTTCCCAGCACCATCCCTGAAAGAATATCTTTACTCTGGTATGTTTTTGACTCCTTTGTCAAAGATCACCCAGTGCTCTGGCTCTGTGTGCTTTGAGTTGTCTCTGTTGTGCTCTCTTCAACTGATGCACATGCCTGTTTCTATGTCAGTACCATGTGGGTTTCATCACTGTAACTTTATAGTGTAGCTCTGAGCTTGGGATTATGATGCCACCTGCTTTGCTTTTGTTACTCAGGATTGCTTTTGGTAGTCTGAGTCTCTTCTAATTTCCCCCAATTTTAGGATTGTTCCATTAGCTCTGTGATAATTGACTTTGGTATTTAGCTTGGGGTTGCACCAAGTATGTTTACCAATATTGAAAGTCAGGCCATTTTGACAGTATCGATTCTGTCTATCCAGAAATGAGGACTATTTTTTCATTTTGTGATATTTTCAGGTGCCTAGTTTTGAGTGGTGTAATTTTCACTATACAATGCTTTGCTTTCTTAAGCTAACACCTATCTATTTAAGTTTTTTTAAATGTTGTCATCAATGATATTATTTTTCTAATTGCTTTTTCAGTGGGTTCTTCAATTTTTTTAATTAAAGAGAAAAAAGAAAGGAAATAAAATAAACAAAGCAGTAAAAGGGTACAAATAATACAGAATTTCAAGAATAAAATACAGTAAGATATCACTAGTTAATAGGTTATATATTGTCATCTTTGAAATAGTTGTCCAAATTATAAAATTAAAGCATGTACAGTGAACATTTATAGAATGAGTTTGCAGAATGTGCCGATCAATGATTGAACAAAAGTTCAGTAATATGGATTTCCATCCTATACACTCAAACATACATGCAGCTATATCCCTTAGACCACCTTCCTTTCCTCTCTTTTTAATAACAATTACACTTTTTGGGTTTTTTTACTCCCACAATTCTTATTATTTTTTTGAAGAGAATAAAACCTAACGTGGCTAAACAAAGCAGAGTCGGTTAGAACAAAAGGTTGGGCATAGTACATGATGTAAAAATAAAATATCAGGTGATGTAAAATGCTTACCATTGTGCCTCTGCTATGTTTTTAAAAAGTTGCCTATATCATCAGATATAATAGAATTGATCAAAACAGTACAGAACAAGACTAATAAAACCTACACTGGAGACCTCAGAGGATTTCAAAAGAAGATAATAATCAAACCATAATGGGCATCTTAGTGAATCTTATTGCCTTGAAATTGGTTGCCTATACCCTCAAACTTGATACTATCAACAAAATAGAATATAGTAAAATCTGACAGAACAAGATGGGGAGAGCAATACTGGGCATCATATCAGGTTAATAAGAAAACAAAAATGTTACTGTAATATATACCTCTATTGGGTTCTTCAATATTGTATAACAATGCTATTGATTTTATCTGTGTGTGTGTGTGTTGTATCCTGGTATCCTGATAATGTTGGTTAACAGTTCTAGAATTGTGTGATGGAGGGTTTTGTGTCTTGGAAGTAGAGGATCATGTTATCTGCACATAAAGGTCTTCTGACTCCGTTCTTCCCTACATGTATCCCTTTTATTTCTTACTCTTAAATAATTGTTCAGGCTATTACGTGAATGACCACATTGAACAGCAATGGTGATAAAAACAACTTCTTTGTCTTGTTCCTGATTTTAGAGAGAAGGCTTTCAATGTTTGCCCATGGCATGTGTATTAGCAGTAGATTGGTCATAAATGGCTTTTATCATGTTGAGATGAAGACCTTCTGAACTTACTTTCTTCAGGGTTTTAATCAAGAATGAGTGTTGCATTTTATCACAGGCTTTTTCTGAACCTATTTAAATGATCATGTGGCTTTGGGCCTTGATTCTATGAAGATGAGGAATTTTGTGTTTGTGTTTATTGAGCCATCTTTGTATTCAGGGGCTGAAACCTGTTTGGTAGGGTGCATGATCTTTTTGATAATTTGTTGTATTTGGTTTACTAGTGTCTTAAAGATTTTTGCATCTATGTTCATTAAACAAATTGTCCTCTAATTGTCTTTTATGGTTGTATTCTTTTCTTCTTTGGTGGTGAGGATAATGATAGCTTCCCAGAATGATTTTTGAAGTCCTACCTTTATTTTTATTGCGGAGTTTGCAGAGTATTATTATTAGATGTTCACTGATGTTCTTAAAGAATTTCATTTTGAGCCCGTCAGGTTCTGGTTTTTCTTTTTAAATTTTTTTATTTAAAGAGAAAACAAGAAAAAACAAAACTGAAGGAGGGAAGAAATAATGATTAAAACATAATTTAAAATTAAAAATTAAGAAATCACTAGTTGATAAATCACATATTGTCCTCTTAGAAATAGTTGTTCAAATTACAGAAGTAAATCATACAAAGTAGACATTCAAACAGTGAGACTGCAAACAATTGTGTTCAGTGATCCAACAAAACTTAGTAATATGGTAATTAATCTTACATACTTACCCATGCATGCATTTATATCCATTAGAGCATCTTCTTTTCTCCTCTTTTTCTTTTTCTTTTTCTTTTCTTTTTTTTTTTTTAAAGGCAAGGGAAAGAAACTTTAATTTTGTATGTATGACCTTGCTGGTAATCAACAACAAAGAGTTCCAAGAAATGTGGATGTTAAGGAGGCTAGCAACGTAGCTCTGTGGTAGAGTAGTTCATCTAGCACTGGGTTCACCCCCAGCACTGCAGACAGAAGCAATCAACATGCACGATGGACCACACTTTTCTCTCTACTCTTGGAAAGCTGAGACTTTTGAAACAAAAGATTGAACAGTGGCTGGAGATACTGCCTTGTGGTACAATATCTGCCTACCATGCACCAGGCCCTGAGTTCATCCCTATAACCACTGCCAAAAAAGAAAGGAAAGAAAAAAGCTGGTGCTGGAGATTTAGCTCTGCAGCACAAGCGCCTGCCTTGCAAGCGCGTGGTCGTGAGTTCGATCCCTGGTACCGGTTAAAAAAAAAAAAAAAAAAGAAAAAGAAAAAAGAAAGCAAAAGGCAAAAACTAACCATTTTTATTATGTTACAGGAAAAATGCAAGGAAACTAAAGTTTTTAAAATAACGATCTGAAATAGCTTATTTTTAGTGAAGTATCCTGGTCGCTGTGCAGATCTGTCTTCCCATCACTGCTGCCTGGGAGCAGTCACTGAGCTGCCAGTAATGAGGCTGCTCCATGTCCTCGTTCCTGACCGAAGGCTGAGTAGAAATCAACAAGGAGAGGTTTTATACATTTGCATGGGAGGCACCATGTGCCTCCTTCTGTAGGTTAAAATGCAAATCATATGTACATGGAAAAAAAGTCAGCTCACGTAAATTTTACTGTGATTTTAAAATTAATTTGTAATACTCAGTAAATTACCTTTGATATAATTTTGAACTCGGGTTGCATATGTTTTTAAACTTTTTAAAAAAAAATTAGAAAGATGTAGTGTTCCTGAATCCAGAAACTTCTTGCACATGTACGTAGATCGAAGCATGTATTATGATGAAGAACTAAGATTTGCCATTGCAAAGCTGTGGCTGTCATTGACATGGAGACCTTGACAGATGCACTTAATTACGCTTTCTTTTAGCCTAAAATTAAAGGAATTTCTCCTGGTATTCCCTGT